CGGTAACGCGCTGCGAGGCCCGCCCGGACCCAGAAGCTCTCCCGAGAGAGGCTGACGTGGCTTGGGCGTTGCCATCAGCAACCGCGGGAGATTTAAACGCGGAGAAACCGAGCTCAGCATTCAGTCGGCCACAGACCCATGGGAATTCCAATTATCATGTACTTACTGCAACCCCCGTTCCCCATCCCATGTGTGTCTCGTGGGACGGAGGGAGAGGAATTTGGAGCAAAGGGGTGAGGTTGTGAGGTTCTTCCCCTGGGAAGAAGGGGTTGGGGGAAGATGGTTCTACTTTGGGCTTTGCTCCTCACCCTCCTACCCTTCCTGATACCTAATCGAAACCTCCCCACTTTCAATTTAAACCCGTTACACCTTGTCCTGTCAATACAGGCCCTTGTAAAAAGTACCCCCCAGCTTCCTTGTATCCTCTTCAGGTACTGGAAGGTGCAATAAGGTCTCCTCAGAGCCTCCTCTTCTCCAGGCTGAACAAGTCCAACTCTCTCAGCCTGTCCCCATAGCAGAGGTGCTCCAGCCCTCTGAGCATCTTCGTGGCCTCCTCTGGACTCGCTCCAACGGATCTATATCCCTCTGATGTTGAGGGCTCCACAGCTGGACGCAGCACTCCTGGTGGGGTCTCACAAGAGCAGAGTAGAAGGGGAGAAATATATATATTTTTTCTTCTGTGTCCTGAGTCCGTGACATCAAGCCAGGCCTTAGGAACCACACTGGCAAGATGAATACAGGCATCTCAGTATTCTCTGTTTGTCACATATGACTTAAATGCTTTAGGCTCCTTGATACTCTAAGCAGCTAGATGGAAGAGTTGGTCACCACATCACTTTCCATTGGAAAGATATGCTGTTGGATGACCTTGGATGCTCCAAGCCTCATCCAGCCTGGCCTTGGACACTTCCAGGGATAGGGCATCCACAGCTTCTCTGGGCAACCTGTTTCAGTGCCTCACCACCCCGTCCATGAAGAACTTCTTCCTGATATCAAATCTAAACCGCTCCACTTTCAATTTAAACCCGTTATACCTTGTCCTGTCACTACAGGCCCTTGTAAAAAGTCACGTTCCCCCTACTCCCAGCTTTCTTGTAGGTCCTCTTCAGGTATTGGAAGGTGCAATAAGGTCTCCTCAGAGCCTCCTCTTCTCCAAGCTGAAGAAGTCCAACTCTCTCAGCCTGTCCCCATAGCAGAGGTGCTCCAGCCCTCTGAGCATCTTCATGACCTCCTCTGGACTTGCTCCAACTGGTCTATATCCTTCTGATGTTGCGGGCTCCACAGCTGGATGCAGCACGCCAGGTGGGGTCTAAGAGCAGAGTAGAGGGGGAGAATCCCCTCCCTCGACCTGCTGGCTACACTTCTCCTGATACAGCCCAGGATCCGGTTGGCTTTCTGGGCTGCCAGTGCACACAGCCGGCTCATGTCCAGCTTTTCATCCCCCAGTCCCCCCAAGTCCTTCTCCTCAGCGCTGCTTTCTATCCACTCTCCACCCAGCCTGTACTTGTGCTTGGGATTGCCCCAACCCAGGTGCAGGACCTTGCACTTGGCCTTATTGAACTCCATGAGGTTGGCAGTGGCCCACCTCTCCAGCCTGTCATCTTGCACCATCTTTCATCAAGGAAATATTAAAGCAATCTGCCTTTTTGCCATAAAATCTCATGTGCACTCTTAATAGGACAACGCACTCATGCCACATTCCATTTCCAGGGCTCTCTGTTGTTAGAACGATTACACAGATCTTTCTTTCCTCCTGAAGAGCTGCATAGAGCTCTCAAACTATATTCCAGCTGGGCATGTGCAATTAATCATCACATGAGATAAAAGACTGCTTCCATATGTGTTCTGGTGCACGCCACATTTACAGGTGTCTTTGCCTTGGATCCACATGCCTGCTGTGAGATGCTAAGAGGAGAAGCTCAGCCTGGTGTTCACCCTGCAAACTTGTTAATGTAGTTAGTCAATGCTGAAGCTAACCAAACTACCATGCTTTGAAATCCCTTACGAGATCTTGCTGCCTGTGAAACAAAAGGAAGTATGCAGCTCCTTTATTAAAATAAATGAATAATAACTGAATAATGAATATCAGTGATTAAAATCCCCAGTATCACAGCCCCATCTAATGGACTGGCTGAAAGATATTCGAAGGGCATGCAAGGAGTCTTATCTATCTGTTATTTTGCAAAATAAGTTACCGTGATAAACAGGACCCCATGGCATGTTAAACTCTTAATTATGGGCACAAGGAGGCATTTTCTCTGAAAATTAAAAAGATTGCAAAATGGCTACAGCCTCTGGGAGGCAATTCTTAGAAGCAAAATGTAGCTCAGTGTTAGTGACTCCTTTATCTACTGCCTTCAGTATTCTCTTGGCATGGATTAGTGTGGAGAGGGGAGTCTCCATATTTCTTAGTCATGTTATCATTATGCCAATGACTCTGGAATGCCATAATCCTACAGAGAAGCTCAGGCCCAAGGGAAAACACATGGAAATCACTGAGAGAAGAGCAATATCAGTGAATCCAGGCTTCATTTTCTATTGTACATGTGAGCTGGTCTTTTTAATTTACAAAAAACTGGCAGGCGATGTGATGCTTCCAGAGAAGTGGTTTGGCCTGCACAGTCTCAGTCTAGGGGAAGATCAGCCCCGGGGCTGCCTGTGCTACATGCTGTATGACATATCTATGTAAGCTTGCCTGAAACACTGTTATGCTGGTATTATCATGATCATAAGTCTGGTTACCAACTTTTGATGTCTCATAACCAAAAACCTATGCATTAGACCACGCAAAGCACAGACACTACAGTGGGACACTGAGAGGAGCAGTGTCATGAGGTGTACACCCTGATCCACAGATTCTGGAGGGAAACAGAGGGACATTTATAGTTGCAGTGGATGACAAATGGAGTAACGCCTGGTTTCTAAATGTCTGCAAAGTTTTGTTGTATCCCGGTAGTTTCTGTGGCACTTGGTCACTAGGACCAAGCAACCTCTGTTGCTTCTTTCTCTGAGCTGCTCTCAGCTTCTCCAGCACTGTCAACTGTGAAAGTGTATCTTCGCAGATGAGTTCTGAGCCCCCATCACATTCATAGTGCTAATTAGGCACCATGCTCTTGAAAACAGGAAGAATGAGGCAGCAGAAGACTTCTATAGGTGTTCTTATCCTGAGATCCCACTTTTGCTCTCTTCTGAAGGTTTCCAAGCTTTTTACACAGCTTGTTAAGAAAAAATCTCAGGCAAAGAGATGTCTAACATTTCACTTGTGAAACTGAGTGCCCAGACACAAACAAGGTCTTTTTGCACCAAATCTATAAATCAACGCTTTGTATGTTGCAGGATTCTGAGATGGGTATCTGACTGCAATATTTACTATGCACTGTTACCTTAAGGCCTGGTGCAGCCATACGTCAGAGAAACACGTGCTGCTCCATGAAGCATCGCCAGGGAACTGGCTTTACCAGAGCAGGAACATTTGCCTACCTTCCTTAAATTAAGAGACCCTCAAATAAATTCTTGTTTAGGTAAAGATCATTTTAGGGGAGGGATCACTTCAGAAGGAGCAAATGTTGTATGTGATTTTCTACACTGACCATTGCACCCTACTTTCTCTGGGGTTGGAAGGACATGGGGTGAGCATTTTTCTTCTGGAGGAACAACTATTCCAGCAGCCACAAAAGCTCCCTCATGCTGACCAAGCGCCAGATTCCCATTTGAGTAGCATCAGTCTTCTTTCTGGACCGGTACAAAACATTCACAAGGAAACATTTCAGGATTACTTAGGGAAATGCTTCTGCTTGGGTTAATGGCTTTTCCCAGTGACTGACTTTTCTGGCAAGAATTGATTCACCCCCGAGTGGCAGCAGGGGCTGAGGCCACCGCTCCAGGGTGGGACACCACAACGTGCTGTGTGGTCACGACAGGGCTTGCAGTTGGGTCCGTGTGGCCATGCCACTCACCTCCTCCAGAGCCACCACAAAACTGGAGCAGAGGAGGCAGGCAGACACACCGTTCCCATCAATAAGCAGCACCGTCTCTCCTAATTGCCACGTATGGAAGGACAGTCCCAGTTAATTAGAAGGCCATTAGGGAGACAGAGGCTGAACCAATCAGGATATCCACATCTTTGAGCTCCAAGTTGGGGTCCTGGCTGCGGCACCTCGGCGCATGCCCTGCTCTGGAGTGCTTATCAGAGAACAGGGGCATCTAGTGGCTGCGTCTGAAATCTCAGTATCTCCCTTCCCTTGAAAAGGTGTGAGAATTTGCCTCTTTCCTTTCTCAGCTCTAAAAATAAAAAGTATTTTTTTCCATAATGTTGGCCAAAGGACGTGGGAGAGGGACAAATTCTCACGAGGTTTCACGTTCTCAGAGCAGCGTTCCCAACCCGGCTGTGATGCTCTGCAGTGGCGTAGCCAGAGTAAATGAAGCCACTGCTGGTTTCTGCTGTGGCTGCTGCTCTGAAGAGCCAGACCTGCTGCCCTGTGACACAAATCCCGTGCAGATTCATTGCAGGGGAAATGTTGCATTGCTCTGTGATGACTGAAGCATCTCAGGCAGTGTTTGCAGGCAGCAACTGTTTACAAAGATTTCCAAGGCTGTCTGCTCTCAGACATTGGCCCTTCTGCAGTGACTGCACTGCAACCACCATCAAAAACCACGCTGGCCTGGGCTCTACAGCTGCTGGTGCTAAGAAAGTATTGCACTTGCTGATCAGTCTCCTGCAGTGGTGAGCTGTAGCCTGGATGCAGCCAGGCCACCAGAGCTGTGCCCACTGCCCCGAGTTAGGGACAAGGAGGGAAAGCCAGGG